CCTCTCTCTGCTCTTCCTTCTCCCACCTCCTCCCTTTCCTCTCTCTGCTCTTCCTTCCCCACCCTCTTCTCTCTCTCTGTGCTCTGCCCTTCCCCCACCCCCTGCTATGTACTAGGTCATTGATTGTCCTCATATCAAAATTGAGTACATAGAATTCCTGCTTCTCCATTCTTGTGATGCTTTACTAAGAAGAATGTTTTCCACTTCCATCCTTAATACAAAGGATATAAAGTCTCCATCTTTTTAAATGGCTGAATAGTATTTCATGTGTTGAAATCCATTCCTGGGTTGGTGGGCATTTAGGCTGTTTCCACATTTTTTTTTTATTGAATGGTAATTATATACATTAATGCACTTTTGGGGTACAGTGTGGGGTGTTTCCACATTTTGGCGATTACAAATTGAGCTGTGATAAACAGCCTAGTGTAAGTGTCCTTGTGGTGAAAGGACTTTTTTTTTTTCCTTCTGGGTAGATGCCCAGTAATGGGATAGCAGGATCAAATGGGAGGTCTAGCTTGAGTTCTTTGAGGGGTCTCTATTATCCTTCCAAAAACGTTGTATTAGTTTGCAGTCCCATCAGCAGTATAGAAGTGTTCCTTTCTCTCCACATCCACACCAGCAACTGCAGTTTTGAGATTTTGTGATGTGGGCCATTCTTGCTGGGGTTAGATGGTATCTCAGGGTGGTTTTGATTTGTATTTCTCTAATAATTAGGAACAATGAGCATTTTGTCATACGTTTGCTAGTCATTTGTCTGTCTTCTGTAGAGAAGGTTCTATTCATGTCTCTTTCCTATTGATATATGGGATTGTTGGCTTTTTTCCTGTGGATTAATTCAAGTTTTCTATAGATTCTACTTATCAGGCTTTTGTCTGATTCAAGATATGCAAATATCCTTTCCCATTGTGTAGGTTGTATATTTATTTTGGTTGTTGTCTCCTTAGCTGTACAGAAGCTTTTCAGTTTAATTAAGGCCCACTTGTTTATTTTTTTTGTTGTCGTAATTGCCATGGAAGTCTTCTTCATAAAATCTTTCCCTAGGTTGATATCTTCCAGTATTTTTCCTATGCTTTCTTTGAGGATTTTTATTGTTTCATGCCTTAAATTTAGGTCTTTTATCCATCTTGAATCAATTTTTGTGAGTGGAGGAAAGTATGGGTCCAGTTTCAGTCTTTTACATGTGGATATCCAGTTCTCCCAGCACCATTTATTGAATAGGGAGTCTTTCCCCCAGTGTATGCTCTTGTTTGCTTTATCGAAGATTAGGCGGCTGTGAGATGTTAGTTTCATTTCCTGGTTTTCTGTTTGATTCCAAATGTCTATGTCTCTATTTTTGTGCCAGTACCATGCTGTTTTGACCACTGTGGCCTTGTAGTACAGCCCAAAGTCTGGTATGGTGATGCCCCTGGCTTTGTTTTTATTGCTAAGAACTGCCTTAGCTATATATGGGTTTTTTTTCTGGTTCCATACAAAACAAAGAATTGTTTTTTCCAAGTCTTGAAAGTATAATGTTGGTATTTTAATAGGGATGTCATTGAATCAGTAGATTGCTTTGGGAAGTATAGACATTTTAACAATGTATATTGTATATTCCCAGCCATGAGCATGGTATATTCTTCCATTTGTTAAAATCCTCTGCTATTTCCTTTCTTAGGGTTTCATCATTTTCTTTATAGAGGTCCTTCACCTCTTTTGTTAGGTATATTCCTAGATATTTCATTTTCTTTGAAGCTATGGTGAAGGGAATTGTGTCCTTAATTAGCCTCTCATCTTGACTGTTACTGTCATATACAAAGGCTACTGACTTGTGGACATTGATTTATAAACTGAGACATTACTGTATTTTTTGATGACTTCCAGGAGTCTTGTGGTTGAGTCTTTGGGGTTCTCTAAGAACTGTGGGGTTCTCATATCATCAGCAAAGAGGGAGAGTTGGACCTCCACTGCTCCTATCTGGATGCCCTTTCAATTTCAATTTCCTTCTCTTGCATAATTGTATTGGCAAGAACTTCTAGCACTATGTTGAATAGTAGTAGCAATAGAGGACAACCTTGTCTGGTTCCAGTTCTAAGAGGAAAAGCTTTCAGTTTAACTCCATTCGGTAAAATTTTAGCTGTAGGTTTGTCATAGATGGCTTCAATCAGTTTCAGAAATGTACCACCTGGGTGGCACCTGTGGCTCAAAAGGGTAGGGCGCTGGTCCCATATGCCAGAGGTGGTGGGTTTAAACTCATCCCCGGCCAAAAACTGCAAAAAAAAAAAAAAAAAAAGAAAGAAAGAAAAGAAATGTACCACTATGCCTATATTCTTCAGTGTTCAAATTAGAAAAGCATGCTGGATTTTATCAAATGCTTTTTCTGCATCTATTGAGAGGATCTTTGTTTTTGCTTCTGTTGATATGGTGAGTAACATTTATGGACTTGTGTATGTTAAATCAGCCTTGCATCCCTGGGATGAAACCTACTCGATCATGATATGTGATTTTTTTGATGATAAGCTGTAATCTATGGGCTAGGATTTTGTTGAGAATTTTTGCATCTATATTCATTAGTGAAATTGGTCTGAAGTTCTCCTTTTTAGTTGAGTCTTTTCCTGGTTTTGAGATCAGGGTGATGTTTGCTTCATAGAAGGTTTTGAAGATTCCTGCCTCCTCCATTTTTTGGAATAATTTCTGCAGTATGGGAATAAGCTTTTCTTTGAAGATTTCATAGCATTCTGGTGTGAAGCCATCTGGACCAGGGAATTATTTTGTTGGGAGATTTTTTATTGTTTTTTTGATCTCAGTGCTTGAAATTGGTCTCTTCACAAGATCTATTTCTTCCTAGCTAAGTCTAGGGAGAAGATGCGATTCCATATATTGATCTATTTTCTTCACATTGTCAAATTTCTGGGTATAGAGTTTCTGGTACTATTCAGAGATAATCTCTTGTATCTCTGTGGCACCAGTTGTTATCCCCTTTACCAGTTCTGATTGAGGTTACTAGAGATTTTAGTTTTCTGGTTAGTCTGGCCAAAGGTTTATCTATTTTATTTATTTTTTCAAAAAACCAACTCCTTGTTTCATTAATTTTCTGAATGATTCTTTTGTTTTCAATTTCATTGATCTCTGATTTAATTTTGGATGTTCCTTTTCTTCTGCTGGGTTTAGACTTAGATTGTTCTTCTTTTTCCAAATCCATAAGATGGCTTGTGAGTTTGTTAATGTGCTCTCTTTCTATTTTTTGGATGTAGGCATCTAAAGTGATCAGCCTATGTGGTATATTTCATGGACAAGTGTAGGCTTAGGTGTTTAGGTTACTATGAAAATGCAAAAACACTGGCCCGTGTGCCACCTAAACAGCTTCTCATATATCAACTGAACTACACGCAGCCCCCTAGGGTGGTGCCCTCGATTAATGGTTCCCTTCCTTTTCCCCCCTCTTCTTCCCTTCCACCCCTAAAGCAAACCTCAGTCCTCGACTCAAGTGCCCTCAAGACCCGGGTGCAACTCAGCAAGAGAAGCCGCCGGCGGGCTCCCATCTCCCACTCCCTCCGGCGCAGCCGCATCAGTGAGTCGGAGAGCAGGTCTCCTTTAGAGGATGAGACTGACAACAAGTGGATGTTCAAGGACTCAACCGGTATGCCCAGGCCTTCTCTTCTCCCAGACACCATGCTCAACAGCAGGAAGGATTTAGATTAAGCCCTGGAAAGAACTGCCCAATTTAGAAGGCTTTAGAACATAAGGACACAATTACATAGGAAACTGATTTCTTGGTCTGCAGCACTTATCAGAAACTAGGTTAAAAAAATGTTTTGAGGGATGATATATTAGTTGAGGCTGTTTGAGTTACAAATGACAGAGACATAATTTAATTGGGTTTCACTATTTCTGTCTGTATCCTTGTTGAATGCACCTTAATACTTTCTTTAGGTTTGCTTGCTGGTATTTTTGTAGATTCTTGAGTTGAAACATCATTTATTATCATTCTTTTTTGTTTTCTGGTAAATTATTTATGGCTATGCATTTTCCTCTATGGCTTGCCTTGGCTGCATTTCATGTCAAAACTTGAACTGATTCTTGAAGAACACATAAGAATTAGCTAGGGGAGGATATTCCAGGCAGAAGTATCAACAGGGTCAAAAGGACAAGAGGTATGGGAAGAACATTGTGTGTATGTGTGGGAGCATCTTTAAACAGTTTAGTGCCACTCAAGCTGGGATTAGCAAGAATTATACCAAAAAGGTAGGCAGGGGATCAGGTCATGGAAGTCCTTGAAGCTTTGCTAAAAAGTTAGATTTTATCTCTACATGGAGAGCCTTGAAAGATTTTTGTTTTTAGTTTTTTTCTAACAAGTTCATTCGTAATATTTAAGAAACAAAATTTCTTTTTATGGTGGAAACTGTGGCATCTTACCTCCCTGCCAAGTCCCCCCAAGCCCTTATGGGTGATTTTGTTCATTGGTGATTTAGTGGTGGCTATAGTAGAATGTCAAACCAGACTGAGCTGAGTGAGAGGCACTGCTTCTGACCAGGCAGTTCTCTGTCCCTCTCCCATTCCATTTTTGTAATTCAGGAAATGTTTAAGCACTTGAGTGAGACATTTCCCTGCACACGTTCTTAGTTTTTTGAGGCACACTGCCTGGTATGAACGAATACCAGACAAGGGACAAGAGCACACTGTGCCCTCAGCAGGGACATGGCACCCTCAGCCTTGAGGAGCCATCCAGGGGCTGGGGAAGGCAGAGGCCTGTGCTTTCCAAGTGTGCCTCAGTTCCCTGCTTAGCCCAGACTCTCCAGACCACCAAGCCCTGCTTTGTCCCCCCAGCCAACCCCTTACCATTGTTCAGGTATCAGGAGGTTGAAACTTCTCATCCTTCACACCTGACAGTCTCTCTTAATGGGTGATCTGTGCAGCCTCAAGCATGGGAATTATCCTGGGCGTTATCCCAAAAGGACGAGCTTGAGGGGGAGAGAAAGAGGTTTCTGGGTCCACCTTTGGCCCACTCTTCACAAGACAGTGCTCTCCATCCTCTTCTCTAAGAGCATAACCCGATCATGTTGTTGGCTTAACACATTCCTGGCCCCTTTCCTGCCTCTGCCAGGGATTTCCTTCTATCTCTCTGACTTGGAATGAGCCAGGGGCCCAGGAGGCAGGGCTGACTATGCCTTCCCTCAAGAGAAAACTTTCCTAATCTGCCTGTGATCAGTATCACCTGGCAAGAGGCAGGGGCATGACAAAGAGAGGGCATAGAAGCAGGGCACCTGGGTTTGTCTTCATCTGTAAGATGGGCTGGTAGTATCTTCTGTGCCGGGCTGTTGGGTTTTGCATGGGATGCTGTGTGCAAAGTTGTCTGTCACATGGGACATCATTACATGGCAGCAGCCAATGACTTCAGTGCCTTTTTCTTTGCAACAGAAGAGAAATCGCCCAGGAAGGAGGAGTCAGATGAGGAGGAGAAGCCATCTAGGGCTGAGAGAACACCAGTCAGCCATCCTCATAGGACACCAGTGTTACCAGGAGTGGATCCGGCAGTGTTAAAGGTACCAAACTTCTCACCAAGAGCCACCCAGGGGCCACGGACCTTGACCACAGCAGCAAAAAGAGCAGAGCTCTCCCTCCTTTCTCCCCTCCTTCCCTTCTCTCCTTTTCTCCTCCTTTCTTTCTTTTTTCTTATTTTTGGAATAGTTTACAACTCAAAGGAGGTTGCAAGAACAGTTTGGAGAGTTTTCATGTACGCTTCACTCACTTTGCCCAGTGATGGTTCCTCACGTGAATATAGCACATTGTCAAAATTAGGAAATTGGCCTTGATGCGATACTATTAACTTACTTGGATTTCACCAGTGGCCTTGTGTTGCTTAATTTCTACTCTCAGTCTTTCCTCAGCCTCTAAACCTCCTGCTCTGTTTGGTCTCACTGCTAAGCCTCAGTTTACTTATCTATAAAGTGGGCTAATAATCCATTTTAGCAATCTGGCCCAGGGCTGGGTGTCTGGAAAACAGAGTGAACAAACCTAGCCTTCTGAGGCTTTTAAGGAATCCAGTCTGCTAGGGGAGGTAGGCACAGAAAATGATCATTTTGATACTAAGGGACAAGGGAAGGACATCACTGGGACCACGTTGCACTCTCTTAAATTATTCCAGAATGCCCACTAGGTCATGGACTGCCTCCCTCCTCCCACCTCCGGCTCCAATAAGCTTCTCTTTGTAATTCTTGGATCAAATGGTACTTAATTTAGGTGAGGAAGGGGGCACTTTTGCCCCTCCCATTCTGTCCCAGACACTCGCAAATTTACTTTATGGCCTTAGGAACCTTGAAAAAAGTAGTTCTTCTCTCCCATTTTTTTGAAAAAGAAATTAAGGCAAAAAATGCCTGGTTTGTTTTGTAGAATTCCTCAACTCTGCCTATCCTCTGCAGGCCACAGCAACCTCACAGAGGATCATGAATTTGTTATTCCCTTAGTATTCTTACAAGGATAAAAAGTCAATAAATAGCAGGTATGTGCTGTTCTCTGTAACTGATTTTACAGGACCTGCAAATGTGAACAGCTTCCAGCCACTAAACTAGGCCAGAGGTCTTCTGACCATTTTTCTTCAGCATCGAAAGAAATGATCTTCACCTGTAATCCTAGCATTTTGGAAGGCTGAAGTAGGTGGATTGTTTGAGTTCAGAAGTATGAGACCAGCCTAATCAAGAGTGAGACTCCCCTAAAAATAGAAAAATAGCCGAGTATTGTGGCAGGTGCCTGTAGTACTTGGGAGGCTGAGGCAGGAAGATTGCTTGAGCCCACGAGTTTGAAGTTGCTATGAGCTATGATGCCTTGGCATTCTGACAGAGTGAGTCTCCATCTCCAAAAAAAAAAAAAAAAAAAGAGAGAAAAAGAAAGAAATCTTAATAACACAGTCTAACTTAGGATGCAAAGAAGTGGCCCCAGGGCTCCCGTGTGGACATTGTGAGTATCTCCTAGAGAAAATCCTTGGATCCCTGTGTACAGCAGGAATCCACAGCACTCTGCAGAAAATAAGGCTCCTGCTGCTCATTCTAACCCAGGCCCATTGAGCCTGGTAACAGCCAGCCACGTTCACTGAGACTCAGGTTAAGTCTCGGCCATGGGCCGCCATAGGCAATCATTAAGGAGGCTGCAGGGCTTGTTCTGGAAAGAGCTACAGAGTTGTGCATGGGGCAGACATGGTATGAATCCCAGTTCTTGAAAACTGCTTTGACTTTGGGCAGACTGCTCAAAGCTTTGAGGTTCAGGCTCTCCCTTTGTAAAATGGAGATAACCAGGATCTACCCTAAAAATAATTTTTTACGTGTGAAATGAGCCAACATTTATCATAGACTTTATGCCCTGGGGAGTCCAAGTGAAGGCATCAAGGCAGGAGCTGTCTGCAGACAGTAGTGGTGGTTGCTGTTGCTGGAGGCTGCCCAGTGCTGCCTGAGAGA